CCTCCCCCCCTCTCTCCCCAGCAACCATTAGCTGCCCATGGGCCCTCAGGGAGCGGTGGTGGTGCCTTGTGCTCCCTCCCCCACCCATGATGAAATGTACACGGGCTCAGTCTTGTGCAGATAGCCAGCTGCCCTGTGTTCGTGAGTGCCCTGGCCATGTGTCATGTCTAGATGTCTTTTTTATAGTACAGCTCCCCATCCTCTAACTCCAACATGCTTTACAGCCAAGAACTTTTGAAAATTGTTATCTGAAGATCAGACCTACTTTGCATAAATCTCATTTGGTTCTCATAAACATTTTATGCGGTAAGCTTTATTGTCTACATTTTATACGTGAAGAAACTGAATATCAGAAGTTAAATAATTTGATCAAAGACATCAAGTCTGTTTGATTCCAAATTCTGTGTCCTTCTCCATACTGCCACGTTTGTTGACTCTCAGTGATTCTTGGAGGGCAGAGTGTTTTTCGTCTCTTAGTCAAAACACATCAAGTATGTTCTGGCTCTCAGAACTCTTAAATCTACTCTTCTTGGATGGAGTTCACCCTGTTCCACAGACTTCAACCAACAGCAACAAAGATGGGATATTCTACTTCAGGATATTCTCTGACTAGTGAGATAATCATATTTTCTCCTTGCTCTTTAGCCTTTGTTAGGATTTCCCCAGAGAAGTGTGTGTGTGTGTGTGTGTGTGTGTGTGTGTGTGTGTGTGTGTGTTGTATACAGGATCCATATATCTGTGTAGATAGATAATACAGATTGATAGAATGTGAGAGAAAGTATGTGTGTGAAAATTGATTTAGGAATTGCTTCATATTATTAGGCTCAAGATACGTTGTTCGAGCAAGCCAGTAGACTAATACTTGCAGCTAAGGTGATGATGTAGTGGTCAATCTCAAAGGAGTGGCGAGACAAAGCTCTCATTTCTTTAGGGAGACCCCAGTCTTCTCTTTAGGCTGGCAATGGACTGGGTAAGGTTCACCCAATCTACATTACCAAGACTGTGGAGCTAAACATTGACTGAAGCGCTCTTCTCTAGACCATCTGGGCCTGTGGCCTAGAACATTTGGCTTTAGGGTCTCTGGGTGTGGATGAGTCTTTGGCACTATGAAGGCTGAGAAAATGTAATGAGTTGCGAATACCTGGGGAGATGCTGTTGATGTCACTGATGCACAGTCACTGCAGTGTCTACTGAAAAATACTTTCCTTGATTCATTTCTGAAAGTTTCTAAGAGTTACAAATTCTACATGTAGACCCAGCTGCTCCCTGTTGTAGTCTGTGGACAGTTTCTTTTCCACCTACCTGTTCCCAAATACCCAGTAGCCGCTTCTTAAACAATTGACTCTGAGAGGCTTAATATTACTTATAAATGCTCATCTGGTAGCTCAGGCTTATTACTAACTAGCTCTTATACTTAAATTAATCCATAATTCTTATCTATGCTTAACCACATGGCTTGGTACCTTTTCTCAGTTCAGTGTTCTCATCTTGCTTCCTCTGTGTCTGGCTGGTGACTCTTTTCTCTGCTCTTCCTCTTCCCAGAATTCTTCTAATCTGGTCACTCCGCCTATATTTCCTGCCTGGCTATAGGCCAGTCAGTGTTTTATTAAACCAATTCGAGTGACAAATCTTTACAGTGTATAAGAGCATTATCCCACAGCACTCTGTACTTCAGAGATAGAAATGAGGGTGGAGTGGAGAGAATGTGCTAGAACTGAAACACAGCTTTCCTCTAAGAACAAAGCTATTCTGAGAGTCTGTTCCTTTTCTGAAGTTGTAGAAGCTGTCTGCTGGGTGTGGTAAAGTTTTGTTTTCATCACAAATGCAATATATCCGTTGCAAAACAAACAAACAAGCCAACAAGCAAACATTGTGTTAAACTTACAGGGAAAGCCTGAGATTTTTGTCCCAAGATTTCCTTGACCCCCTGGTCCCTTAGAGCAGATGGGTCAAGCAGCTTTTCTGAAGCAACTGGCCCTGCCAGCAATGTAGGAGAGAAGATGCTCTCAGCGTCTTGCTTTCAAGAGCTGTTTTTGTCAAGACAATACAGTATTAATCGACTGCCACGTTATACACTGACCCATGTACACGACCCAAGCATGGATCAACAGTTTCTGTGTGGTTATAGAAGTAACTGAGAGGGCGAAGCTACTAGATATAGAAAAATAAAAATGAATAAATGTATAAATGAAGGATGTACTTGACTGGCACCAGCAGGCACATAAGACCTGTGGGAAACCACACACTCCCAAGACTGCTGAAATCTGTAGTCCTCCTGTGAAGGGGACAAGGTTGTGTGGAGATGAGAGGACCTGCTGTTGCTTCTATGGGACTGGCATGTCTGGGAGAATTATCACTAAATTCAACTCCAGTTATCATGAGATAGACAGAGCCTCCTGGTATACCACGTCAAAGACCTGCTTTTGTAGAAGCAGAATGTTTAATATATCTGAGCACACAGGTGTGGCCAGAGACACAACAGGGACCAAATTGACTAGAGTTTATAAAGTGATGCATTTTTAAAAACATTGACCACAACAGACACTTATTACTTTTGTAACACTTGGGTTTATAAGGAAAACATAACATCAAAAATTAAAATAACAGCCGTATAGTCAGTTGTCTCCTGTTCTGGAGGATCCTAATATGGCTTAGTATATTTTCATTTTTTCCTCTTCCACAACACCATAGCTGTAAAGCTTCTCTCCCTAGGTGATCATCAAGACATTCACACTTCACCTCCTGCCAAGCCCCGAAGTGCTGAAAGTCCTAGCATATAATTTTCAGATCCAAATCAATTAAAATATTTTATAATCAATTAGAACTAATCCAGAAAACATCAATATACCTTTTTTTTGCATGCATATGTGTGTGGTGTGTGTGCATGCATGTTTATAAATGTGGAAGCATGTTTGTGTGCTCCTGTGTACATGCATGTTCCTCTGGTGGCTAGAGGCTGACTTTGGGTATCTTCCTTGATTATTCTATTTTATGAAGGCAGGGTCTCTCTTCTTGAACATGGAGCTTGTTGATTCAGCTAATCTGGCTAGCCAGCTTGTCCCGGGGGTTGCATCTCTGCCACACGTTACCTGTCCATCCACCACCCTCAAAAATCTAGTCCATCTGTTGAGTCACGTGGTCTTCAGCTTCAGTAAAACAACCCACAGTCTAAAAAAATCACTTTTGTGATTTTTGTTATAAACGGTTTCCATTTTTCTATTCAACACTTTTGCCATTTGGGCAAAGGCATGTGCAAAACAAAGCAAAAAACAAAAAACAAAAAAAATAAGAAAGAAATAAAGAAAGAGAAAAACGAGCAAGTTCCAAGACAGCCAAGGCTACACAGAAATCCTGTCCTGAAGTAACAAAACAAAAAACAAAAAAACAAAACAAAACAAAAAAAAAGAAAGAAAGAAAGAAAAAAAAAACCACAAAGCAAGCAAACAAACAAAAAAGCATGTGGAAAAGGTCTATGGCATTTGTAAATAGTTATGATTCTTTTATATAGTTCATTAAACACAGCAAATCTTTCTGTGGTGCTAACATTAAATTTGCTATGTAATTCTAGGGTCAGTTCTAGCACATTCCATGTGCTTCTGTTATGGTTCCAGCATGCTGCCAGGTACAAGAATGGGCATTGGGGTGGGAAGATACAGTATTTCCCTTCATAAGGCTAATATGTAAGGAGAGTCAGACGCCGGACAAATCCTAAAGCTGGGTGAAGGTTTACAGTGGAAACTCAGGCTCTGTCCTAGTCTCTGTATTTGTTAGGACAGGGTGAACAGGCCAGGTGTTAGCAGAAAGCAACAGATGAGGACTCTAAGTAATCTGTGAGTTGAGGAGTTAGCCATTGTTGAACTATGGGAGCACAGAGGAGCACAGGGAGAGAAGGTCATGAGCAATGTCATCCTGATGACTCAGGTGGACCAGTTGGACAAAGCGGCACCCCGGATCACACGCTTGCACTCCCCTTCTCAAGTGGGGCTCTTGAAAAATGGCTGTTACGGGATTTACATCACTTCCCATGTGCTGAAGGCATCGGACCCTGACACAGAGGATGACCAGATCATCTTTAAGATTTTACGAGGCCCATTGCATGGACATCTGGAGAATACAACCACAGGTACCCTCCATCTTATTCCCTGTAATTTCTCATTTTAAACTACCAGTTGCTGGCAGGGAGAGAGGATAACTCAATTAAGGGCAGGCCCATTTGGTGAGTGCTCCCCAGGACTTGCTGATAGACTCAGTTTCTAAATCAATATTGTTGCTGAGGGGATTTGAAGCTGGGTTTTCTACATTCATCTTCATAAGGAGAAACAAATCCTGACCCACAGATGCTCAGCTTCACCATTTTGATTTTGTTTATTTTTGTTTGTTTGTTTTGCAGGTTGTTTTATATTCAGAACAGGGATAGGGTCAGATTGATATTGGAGACTAATTTCTTTCTTCTACTATGAATTCTAAATGATATCAGCTTCTTAAAAAAGTCTATTTTTTCTAATGGTTTGGTAGATTATATTTTATTTCTACTTCAGGAAGGCAATGATCACAAAGTCTTATTAAATGGGGTAGCACAGAGGTGATGGGTTTTATTCATTTCCTATTTCCTTTCTCTTTAAGGCAAGTATCTCTGAAGCAAAGCAAATTTAAAGGTGAATTTGAGTTCATTGCATTTAAATTTTAACATAGTTGCAATAATGTTAATTTCCTTTTCAAATAGACTTTTGCTGTTTCGTTTTGAAATAAGGTCTCAGGCAGCCCAGGCTGGCCTCAATCTTGTTATGTAGCTGAGGATGACCTTGAACTTCTGATCACTCTCCCTATATGTGTGTCATCATGTGGGATTTTAGGTGGGCTCCATGCATGCTAGGCAAGTGCTCTACCAAGTGAGCCACATCTCCAGTCCTGTTCTATTCCTTAAAGCTGTGTTTCAAAACCAAACGGCTGTGTAGTTTCATCAATTCTTAAGTGATGTTTGATTCAATTACCTGTGAGATTCATTTATTTCTTGCTTCAGGTGAATTTATCCATGAGCAATTTAGCCAGAAGGACTTAAGCAGGAAGACCATTCTTTACGTCATAAACCCATCTTTGCAAGTGAATTCCGATATCCTGGAATTTCAGATCATGGACCCCGCAGGGAACACTGCCACTCCTCAAAGGTGACTTCAATTATTCACTGGTTGTTCTGCATGTCATGTTTAGAATGTATCCCATTAAGAAAGTAAAATAATCTTTTCCAAACCAGACCTAACGGTAAATCGATGGACTCTTTTATATGCTCACACAATTTATTTTGGAGAAAGGATTTCTGTTGTATTATTTCTAGATGATGGAAAAGCCAGTAGCTTTCCAGATGACAAAGACACTAAAAGGTTAAATGAAAGGTGTCTTTTACATCATGCCTCTAAGTGCACCCCCTTTCACACACTGGCAAGTTGCTATTGGAGGGCTTTCAGGACTGAGCTCAAAACCGGTGTGTGGATGCTGCAGCCAGAGGTCACTCTAGGACCGTGTTAGTCACCACTGGCTTCTGAACTGCGGGGTGGGTGGGGGAGGCATGAAATAGAAGGAGCAGCCAAATATATTCTCTCCTGCAAGAAAAGAGAGAAAATACGCTGATGCCTCTGCACGTTAGCTAGCCTTATAGGCAAGATGAGGATAACGTAAACAGAAGTAGATATGAGAGGATACAGAGTGATGTTTAGAAACATAAATATATGTGATGTAGACAACTCAGCATCACGAGAACAAATTCACAATATTAACGAGATTAACAGAGCAGAATGATTTCAGTGTCTGCGCCTCCTTTCCAGATGCTTCTTGGGTATAGACCTTTAATAATTTACTGGCTGGCAGATGGTCATAGTGAAGGCCCATCCGTCCATTTCTTGTGCTGCATTAGTTTTTCTTTATTTACTGCCTTTCCCTGACACCTCAGCGAAAAGTGACTCATTCCTTCTAAATTTTGCATTCGCCATATCCGAGGCATATTAAAAAAAATAGCACAAATGAGCACAGCCCTACGATGCTCCCTCTATGATGAAATGTGGACGGGAAGAGAAACGTGATGAGGAAATGCTCTCAGTACCACTGTTTTTCTTCCCCCAACCTGTGGTGTAGTTCCACCATTCGCCAGCAGAGGGTGCTATAGTCGTTGATAGCAAAAACTGGCATCCTGTAGCTGAAACCTGTTCCGACCCTGCCTCCCTTGCCTGTTAAATGCACTCCTTCACCCGTGTCTATAAACTAACCCAACAAACTTTGGTCCTGTGGCTGCCACATGCCAGGCTCACAGCACCCGGTGTTAGGAGCATGGAAGACTAGGCACCTGCACTTAAAACCCCGAGATTATAAACTAAAACAAATGTTCCCCACCCATTAAACTGTCCCTGCCTAAGGGGACCAATTCCTGGGGGCTGGGGGTGGGGCGGGGTCACAGTCTAAAGATTGGCTAGCCATGGCTTGCTTTTTTCAAACACATATCTTTATTTTCAAGAAAAAAATTTTAAACTTGGGCTCTAAAAATATTAACGAATTGACTTCACTCAGCTTTGTAGTCTTTTTAAAAGTTGTTCTACTGAAACACATAGTATTGATCAGACTTGTCCCTGAGCTTGTACAAACCTTTGGTCCTCCACATGCCAGCATGATGTGGATGGCAACCTGTCCCCCCAGCAGTGACACTAGGTTTTCTTGCACACATACCCTTTTGCTGCCTTATTGTTGGCAAGGACATCGCTTAGTGAAAATGCTTTATGTTTCTAGGTAACCATGACAGTTACTTAAGAAAGCCACAGCAGAATTTACATCACATAGATAGTGGAGTTATCACTTCTGTGGAGGCTGTTTTAGATTGGCATGCCTGCTTCCACAGAGATCGCTTCTCACAGGCTCATGCTGGAGATGTTCCTATCGCCTCGAAATGGCTAGAACCTCTGAAGAAAAAAAAAAAATGCCTGCAGACAGCTAGTACAAAAATAACTCAGATTTGGTTCCAACAGGCTTTATGTTATTTTCTTTTGAGTGGGCGGGGACGTAGAAATTGCTCAGCATTTATCTCAGCATTTTTGAGTGGGATAGTTACACCCAAGTAGGTGTGTTTTTTCCCCCTAAAACTAAGCACACATTTTCTGATCACAAACCAAGAGAGGCAACCCAACTTAGAGGTCGTTGTTTAGTCCTGGTCCCCTGAGTTTATTCCTTGGATCCAACTCTCAAGAGCTGTCTTCTGACCTCTACACAAGGGCAGTGGCATTCTTGTGCCTGCACATACACACATACAAGCACACACACAGACTTTTTTAAAAAGAAGAAAATAATTCTAAATAGTGACGTGTCTTCACAAAGTGACCAGCAACAGCCTGCTTAACAATATGCATATTGTTATGCATAGGCATTTGGAATTTTGTTACTTTGGGTTCTGTCTGATGTTATTCAGTTAATCACTGAAACCATGTATAGTTGGGTCCCATCATAATCTAGAATTTGCAGGCAAGGAAACAGATGCAGAGCTGGAAGAGCCTTAGTATGGGAGATGGGGTTCAGTCCTTACTAGCCCAGGTGGCTCACTAGCCCAGGTAGCCCACCACCCTGCTCCATCCCCCTTGCCCTTCCTTGCTGGGTAAGCTCTTCTTTCCCGGTAGGCATTGCCCATCTAAGCTGCAAGGAAGAAGGAATATTTACCCATCCAAGACCTCAAGGTTTACCTGGGTTTTTGTGAAAATGTGAATAACTGCCAACATTAGTGTGGCCTCCCTATCTAATGCCCTGGGCACTATAGTATAGATAGTTATCCTTTGGACATGAGTGGAACAGGTCTGCATTTGGGACTCACCATTTAGTGATTGTTTATTGGTAAAATTATTAAGGCCACTCCACGTAGTTAAAAGGAAGATTTATTTAGTGGATACCTTACAAATGAAGGGATAGGTAGGTCGCGGGGTCTGGGGAAGGTGTATCGCAGTCCAGCGGTGTTCTCTGGAGCTCTGCTAGGTCCACCTCTACCATCTAGGGTCCCGGAACAGAGAGAGCACTGGCCCATCCAGATCTCGGGTCTCCAGGCGCCTCCCTTGGGCCTGCCTTGTAGGCGTGACAGTTGCCAAAGCCTCAATGGGGGTTGGAACTTCCAGATTAAAGCTGGAATGGCTACCCACTACAATTGTTTACAACAGCTTTCTGGTCTTTACAATGGGGAAGTACTACAATTACTTTAGTCAAACAAATGAGGTCCAACATACGAAAGACCTTGTATTTAAGTTCTTAGCAAATGCATCTTGCAGTTTTTACTGCTAGTGTTAATTCCCCTGAGCATTTATGTTAATTCCATTGACTGTTTGAAGAAATATCCTGAAGTATTTGGTGGGTTAAAGTTCATCTCTAATTGGATATTGATTTTAGGGTGATTCACGAAGCCAACAGTCCATATACTTATTCCCAATAAGCTTTTCTGTGTTTTGCTATTGAACTTTCTATGCATTACTAGTCCTGAAGGATCAATAGAAGTTCTAGTTCATCACACATAGGAAAATGTGGTCTGGGTGAGATTAATCAAGTTACCAGCAGCTGGCTAGTTGGTGTGTGTGTTCAATAATATCACACCAAAAGTCATCAAGCTGATCATGTTATTGAGAGTCTATGAGAGAGGGCCCGTTGTGTGGCATATCTCACCTTAGCAGGCTACAGAGCCACCTCGACTTGCTCCCCTCCCCCATCCATGTTAGTGCAGGTGACAATTTGTCATGGAACTAATGGAAGACACTGTCATAAACAGAAGCTTAACATCCATGGATGTTTGTCTCAAGATTTAGATTTGGCTAAGCGCCTAAAGTCTAGGCAATGTGTTAGGTGCTTAAAACACAATCCTCCAAAGATAATATGGAAATTAGACTCAAAACATTGAAGTAATTCTCTCCAAGCCAGCGCAAGAGTGGCAACTGAACGTGAACCCTGACCTCCGGGTCTCAGAAAGCTCATCTCTTATTGGCTCTGGCCTTGGCGTGACTCACTCACAAACTTGCTCTCTTCTCTGGCTCAAGTTGGCTGTCCAGATGAACCACAGAACCTAAGCCAGGTACACAGGGCCCACGGCGCTCATTGAAAACATCTTTGTAGACCGGAAAATGAAGCCAGCTTACCCCAATGTAATTTTCTTAGTACAAGTTCCATGTGGACCTCTTTATTATGCGTGCCCTCCCCGCCCCCCACCAGCAAAAAAAAAAGCAAAAGGAAAAGAAAAAGCATTAACTTCAAAAGAAACGTTGGTCCCTGTGGACTGTCTCATTCAGTGGTTCCTCCTAACACTGGGTCCTGTCCTCTTTGGCAACTGCACCCAGCTGTTCTGTTTGAGTCTTGGCCTCAAAAGAGAAAAGTCAAAAGAAATGTAAAAGGAAAGGAATTTCTATCAGGCGAGGTTTAAAACATTTAAACAGCATTTATGAAACACCTCGGAAGGGGAGAGGTTGCGGCCCATTCGCTCACTAAAGCCTGCACGTTGTCTACAGCCCCGAGTTAACATGTGTATCCCCCGTCTAGAGCTAAGGAAAGCACAGAGGAAGGGAGAGAAAATGGCACTTATTAAGCACCCACTGTGTACAGGTGCTTTGTGCACATTAACTAGTTTCAATTTTAATGATTTGACGTGACTGTAATTCTTCTCATTTTAAGATAATGAAAACCGAAGCCTAGAGAGGCAGAGGAACTGACCGCATTCCCACACTAATGAGCGGTTGCAGGGTGGACTCCGAAGTGCTGTTTCCTCCACTCTCCCCGCGCTGCCTCTCGGCTAACCGCTCCCCACTAACAAGAGAAAAGGAAACTGGAAACACAGGTGTTCAGAGGACAAGGTTATCAGGCTTAACAGCATCATCTCTGAATTGATAAACCTGAGATAGAATGCTTGGAAAAAATACTTTTTAGCATAAATTTCTGAAGTCATATGCCACCTGATTATAAGTGAAGATCTAGTTATAGGAATAATGACTTAATCATAATTTTAGCTCCTATGAAACCTTTTTACGGAGAAGCTCGCCATACTTAACGAGCACTCCTGGGTGTTCATTTAAGTCCTTTGAAGTACGACTTGTCTTTAGTGTGCTTTGAGAAGTGAGGAAACCGAGGCAAGGAGAGGCTGAAGCCTTCTTATTAACCCAGATTGATGGCCCAGATCCCAAACTCATGTTCTAAGCCCGTGGCTTTCACTTTGCGTTCCTTCATATACACGAACCAAATAGATACAAAATAAAATACCAAAAAGCAAATTGTAAAGCAGGCTCTCTCAGCGTTGGCACTGTTGATGTGTAGGGAAATGCAATTCTTTGTCATAGGCCAGTGTCCTGTGCACAGCTGCTAAGCAGCATCCCTGGGTTCCACCCACCAAATGCCTGGACCACCCCTCTGCCACGTGTGACAGCCAGCACTGGTTCCAGATCTGCCTAGGGTTGAGAACTACAATATGCCTCCGAGAATACCACACGGGCCCATTTAAGGAACCGCGCTTTGCCGCCGAACATGCCTATTGCTGCCATCTTCTAACAGGGTCAGAACCATGGTCAAAGAGTACAGAGTGAGTCGGGGTTAGAAAGAACACGTGAGAATGTTCTGGCCCAGAATTATTTTCAAGGTAGATGAAAGACGCCGAGGATGCTGGGAAAGGACATTTCTGGCGGTCTCTCAGCTCAGGCAACAGTACAATGAACAGATAGTTGTCGACGACTCTGTGACACTTTGTGTCTTCCACACTCTGCAAGTGAGTTGTCATAGATAAGGAAGCAAAGGCTGCTCCCAGGGAGCATGCTTACATCAAATAAACTAGACAGTGTGTTATGCATGAAAACTTAAGTCAAGATAAAGGCAACTGAAGAAAATTCAACTTTGGCAAAGAATCTGGGATGTTAAATGAGGTGTCCAGATACTTTTTCTTGTGTCTGACTGCTTTGAGTCACCGAGTGGCAGAGGGACCAGCAGCCTCAAGGCATGTGATCCAGTTTCAGTGTCTTCTGTTTCCAAAAGTGGTTGTTGGAGACCAACATTTAGCTTTCATTTAGAATCGGCTCCTCTGCTGTGCTGAGTGTCTTCAGAGTGGTAGCTCTCGGCTGAAGGTGTTTTTCCTCCCAGGGGACATCTGTAAAGTCTGGAAATGGTTTTGATGGCTGTGAGCATGGTAAAAACATGGTAAAGTATGAAACAATATCGCTGTGGAAAGATCAAAGGTGCTGCTAGGCCTTTCAGAGTCTAGGCTGTCATCTACAGCATAAAAGACCTGACTCACCAGGTGTGGTGGCGCACGCCTTTTATCCCAGCACCCGGCAGGCAGAGGCAGGAGGATCTGTGTGAGTTCAGGGCCAGCCTGGTCTACAGAGAGAATTCCAGGGCTGTTATACAGAGAAATCCTGGAAACCTTGTCTTGAAAAACAAACAAAAGCAAACAAACAAACAAACAAACAAAAAACTCAAAGAACAGAAAACAAAGAAAAAGACCTTATAAAAGCAGAGTCCTTGTAAAACTGGTTTAAATTCCACTTATTTTAATGTAGACTTAAAGTCACCTTTTATGACAGAAATAGATGTGTATTCTAAGTTGACTAGATGTTCTACTTTCCTAGACTACACCATTTAACAAAATTGTACAACACAGAGGCTTTTCACAACTCGGTTATTTTTTAAAACAAGAACAACTCTTGAAAATAGGCCATAGTAGCAAAATCTATATTTAAAGAATAAAATAACGAAGGGGAGACAGATCACTGAGGTCAGAGTTAATTGCAAGTTCTGCCATTTTTTTGAGATGCCAAGTGTTTCAATTCTTATTTAATGATACTCAAATTGTGGAAATTTTAACGTTTGTTCCAAAATAGCAGAAACTGTTAAAAAAAATTGTGAATTATTGGATAAAATGCCATTACTTGTATATTTGACACTTGAAGTTTTTAATTATAGAGTTGACATGTTGACATGTAGTACAATAATACAATGACTATTCTCTTGTAAAAGAAAAGGAAAAACTAGTAAAGAAAAAAAATTTAGTTAAAAAAAAAAAGAAAGAAAAAGATCTGACTCTAATGTCCACAGTGTGAGGTAGAGAAGGCCTGACCTCGGGGCTCCTGCCAATCGGCGTGAGAAGTCCCAGATGTGTTTCTCACGTGGTACATTGCTAACCTTCATTTCTGCCTGTAGAAACACGCCACTCAATGGTCAGAAGAGGGTCCATTAGAAAACATCAGTCCAACCTCATCTGCATGATGCTTACATACACAGAACTTCCGGATTGTTCTTATAGGCTCCTACATCTGAGTGTCTACCTAATACCAAACCTATAGTCATGTGGGTTCTTGTAGGGAAAGTCCACAGTGGTTGGCTACATCTTTTCTTTTCTTTCTTTTTTTTTTATGTATTTGCATAGACTTTAAGACTAGAAGCAGCTTTGCAAATACATTACTGTAAAAGAACAAACTAACAAAAAAATCACATTCAGCACATATTGCACATACCCTCAGGGTATAGGAGGCTTTCCTTTAAAAAAATTTTTTTCTGGAAAAATCGATAGCCTGAATTAAGTTTCATGACTTTTCAATAGATTATTTATTATTTATGGTGAATAGCTTTAAGAAAAATAGAAATAGAACATTGTTTGGTGACCGCCTGAACCTACAGGCATTGAGTTAATTAAGAAGGTGCACCCAGAAAACACATACACACCCTCCCCCACACTGAGACCCTCTGTGCTCTGGAGTGAACAGTCCACTCACTTGTTTCCTTCTTGATCTAAATCAGCAATCAAATTGCACTTAGTGTTGGGCCTTGAGGTCATGGGTCTGTACAGTGGCATTGATTCCTGCTTACAGTGGTTAGCATCAGCAATGGGTGGATCTGCAGAACTCAGCTTTGGAACGTGCTTGACTCTTAGGAGCCCTAGCTCAAGTCCACCCACATGTATCAGTTTCCCATTTATTCCTCTACCTTCTCCCTGAGTCACTTTTTTGCTTCCTTGTTTACCTGGGTCCTTTAGGAATTCTTTGTAACATGTCATTTCTACTGACATTTGAATTGTCCTTGTTGACTATTATTTTATTACTCTTTAAGCATAGTTTTTTTTATTTCTTGATCTATTTCATGCTAGACTTAAATTCTGTTGCATCAAATACCAGTGAGTGAACCAATTTTTTTTTAAATAAAATGATGCTTTTTTCAAGTCCTTTTAATGAAATCCAGGATGCAGTAACAACAATGTTTTGTAACTATTGAATAAACACATTATGTGTACAACATTTGCGTCTTATTATGAGACCCTGTAGTAAGTCTATGCTGCAGGTCACTCCACCTCTAGCCTGTCATCCTTCAGTAAGAACCAGTGCCACTGCATTTATTTTGTTGGTGAACTTTGTATGATGTGATAGTGACCTGTGACCCCTGCAAGGAGGATAAACTAGTTGTTGAAACTTCCTGATTTTAGTCCATTTTTTCTTTTTAAGTTCTGTAGATGACAACCATTAAGAATGACAATTTCCATGGGTGTCAGATTTATTTGTGATATATCAGAAGTATTTATGAATCACATTTGGCTGTATATTGTTGGCCCCCTGTGTCCCAGGGGTTTTGCAGATATAACCAACCATAATTCAAAATGATTTATTAAAGAATTATGTCATACTGAACACACATAAGCCCCCTTTCTTGTGATTAATCTCTAAACAATACAGTAAATCAGCTATTTTCACTGTACTTCCACTGTATTGTAAGTCATCTAGAGATGAAGTAAGGTATAAAGAGGGATATGTGCAGGCTGTGTGTGACTTGCATGTCTACACATGTCAGCGTCAGCCATGGGTCCCTGACCCACTCTGTGGTGGACCCTGAGGGATGACTGGGGTTGCACCCAAGCTGCACACTGTCCTATCTCTTTCACCCGCACAGAAAGAGGAGTCGGACACTTTAAGTTCTAAGCACATCCTGAGGCTAACTTTTCATGAAAATAACCCCAAGTTCAGAGATCTTCCTAAAATGAACGGACTCTTGAACTGCATGCCTGCAGGTTCCTTTGCCTTCACACTCAAATTTGAGCCTCTACCTACCCACTAACAACCTTGGACTTTTGGAACTCTTTTAATCTTACTTATTTCATTGATAAAATAGAATTCCTAGCACTTTCTCTGTTCCCTCACAAGTTCATTATAAGGATCAAGTAGGACAATGCAGAAGTTAGTCATGAACAAACACTCCACATAAGTGTGAGCGATTTCTGTCATTGACATGAGTTAACCAAACTCCTTTGCTGCCTTGATGGAACTTGGTGCTCAGTCTCCCTCTAGCTGACCAAACTGAGGGACAGTCTTATAGGTCCCTTATGATCACCTTTTTCCTGTTTTTTCATGCACAGCTTGGAGCTGAAGTGGTCTTATATTGAATGGTTCCAGACTGAATATGAGGTCTGTGAGAATGTGGGCTTATTGCCCTTGGAAGTTACCAGAAGGGGATATTCCATGGACTCAGCCTTTGTGGGCATAGAGGTAACAACTCTAAAATGAAATTGTCAAGATAGAACTTGATGTGTTGGTTAGTGCCTCTGATGATTTTCTTAGAAAAACTCAGCCTGGCCAAGGGAACTTCCAACTGCAGGGGGAATCACTATATGCCAGAGAGTCCCAAGAACATAGCATCTTTGTTCCCGACCCTTCAGTGGACTCCTAGACAGTTTTTAAGATCTGCTTTTGGTTTTGAAATCTGTCTATTTCTACATACTCTTTAGCTTTCCAAGTCTGATTTCACGGAGAGCTGTATCCAGCTTAGTGGATCTGTATTAAACTCCACTGTGAAAGGTGTAGACCGATCGTTCCTATGAATTGACCAAAGCAAGCGTCAGTCACCAGCTGTCCCCTGTGAATGGAATAGGATCACTGTCCGTTCCTCCATGGACGAGGTGAAACAGGAGACATGAACCGTCTTGAGATGTATCCATGCCATGCAAAAGTAGGATACTTTGGGACAGTCACCCCAAGTGTAAGGAGTCTCCACTTTGTCATTTCTGGCCAGATTTATCATCCTTTCCATAGGTTGGAGTTCAACCTGTGGCTTGTAGAGCTGAAGGAGTTTGAGAACAGCTTTTCAGAACGGTTGGCAGTTTCTGTGCTTCAATGGAGAACAAGAGACACTCCTCCTCAGTCTGCTGCGAGGAGCCCCGGGACAGATGGCATCTCTGTTAGCTGCAGTTACCAAGAGTTAAAACCCTGTGGACCTAAACCTGGCCACATCCAGACTCACTGTTTCCCTTTCTAGTGGACATAGGTCTCTGTCTCCTGGACCTGCTGGGGTTTTATCATCAAAATGGAAGCGTTGGCATTTCCCATAACTCCAGGGAAGAGCTATGGGGAAGAAGAGTTAGCCTGGTGTAGCCTTTCAGCAACCCTCTAGTCCTTCACAGAGTGTTGCATACTTGAGCGAAGCATTCAGATCTGTGCGACCACTCACCCCAACATGTAAAAAGAGCCTACCTGGGACCTTAGTCTACATAAGTTGTATGAACCTGATTCCTAAGTGTGCAGGTCTTCATTTAGTACAGATTCTGAGGCTTTTTGGAGTACAGCGCCATATAGAGTATAACCTGCCATTTTGCCTAAGCTCTTATGGGCTCCTTGACTGAGAAGACATACTTTGTGCTGTGCTGTTTGCCCTTTTTGAACTGTCCCCTTCACCCGACCCGTCTTTCCAAATACCTTGCCTCAGACATGCTTTTCCGACCTAGGATTCTGTAAACTCAGTGGTGGTAAACACTAGGTAATTGCATGTGTGAGAACCATGCCGACAATGGAACTTCCAGCATATGGCGGATGCAGGTGTACAATGGGATGCCTTTTCCCAGCAAAAGCTGGTTGGGGGGGAGCCTTGGCATTGCAGACAAAGAGCAAATGGAAGCCCAGGAGGTAATCCCTTCTTCAGCAAGATGTTTCTAGACAGACGGTTAACCTATTAGCATCTTGGTTGGAAGTAGAGCCATTGTCTGAGACCACAGGCATGGGCATTTTAGAGCTTCAAATTGTGTACCCCATTCCTTTCACCGCCTTGACCACCTGCAACATCTTAAAAATGTACAAAATTGACGACTGCCTACGATGTTCACCCAAGGTCTCATTCATTCAATGGCCTTTTCCGAACTCACTACAGATATTTTTTTAACAGACATGTAGGCTTCCCTTGCCGGTCTAAGACCATGACTTCAGAAACCTAAATTTGCCTCTTTAGATTTTTAGTCCTGGATCAGGGACCCAGTGGAGCTGTCAGTAGTTGTTTTAGACCAGGGAAGTTATCCATTTTTATAGCTTTCCTGACAAGGCCTCTAAGGCTGTGGGTCCTGGGTCTGGAGTGCCTTCACACAGTTGCTTACCGGGTCTTCCGTCGGTCCCACAAAGCCCTCATTCATGTTGGCACAGAGTGATGGTTTCATCCCAGCAGGAAAACAATGCTCAGGACTTGTTTGGTTAATCTGGCCTAAGGGCTCTCAGTGCCATGGAGCTTGCAGGAGCCCTCAAAGCTAGCTAAGGGCGCACCACAGGCTCTCAGGGCTTCCCCCTCCCCCTCCCCCCTCAACCCTGGTCCTTCTCCATTTTAAAACCCAGAGAGGTAATGGAATAAAACGGCACTCATAACAAAGAGAGCAATAAGGTTTTAAACTTCAGCCTACTTTTTCCAATAACTGGATACTTTTAAAAGGAGAAGCAACCAGTTAACTTAAAAAAAAAAATACCACAAAGCCTGGACCCAAAATGGTTTATTATGATTTTCAAAATCTTACCTAACATTAAAAACAGACTTGAGACCATGAATTCAGTCTGGAATGGCAGGAGAGTAAATGTTTCTCTAGTGTAGAATATTTGCTTTTATTTTTTAAAATGACATTTTTTTTCTCCCACTAAGGTCAACCAAGTGTCAGCTGTAGTTGGGAAAGATTTTACAGTCACGCCATCCAATCTGATCCAGTTTGACCCAGGTACGTTTTGTGTTTACATGTTCTATAAGCAGTCTCAAGACGGTGGGAAGGCAGGATGTTATGCAATTTCAGCTGAGCAGAGGATCATCAGGGAGCCGTACCACCCTATTCCCAACAGACGAGTTTGGCCTGAACTTCTGCCCCTATATGTTTTCTTATTACAAGTGAATATTTATTTAAACAGAAAAAAGATCATAGCAAATAATAAACATAAAAAAATCAAAGGAAGTATCCAAAACAATTCAGAAAAATAAGGTAATTTAAATATTATTAAAATATAATGGTAGTTTAATAACCACATATTTCAGTAAAAAATTCAAATGTTATGATTATATAGATTCCTAATGATCGAAATGAGCTCTTTTGAAATAAGTTGATCCAAGGTGCTTTCAGGGCAATTTATTATTTAATTGAATAGTACTTACTTTGATTTAAATCTGTGGAAAATTTTCTAGGTACAAAATGTAAAATATGAAAGTGTGGTTTCTTCTGAAGATGTTCTGTTGTATGCAACACACAGACATAAAAATATTTGCTCACAGTACTTTGGAACCCAAAGTGTAAGATGTGGTTCTAGATAAAGAAAAGGCTGGAAGACTTCCTAGGGGAGGCAGCATTCTAGTGGGCAGAAGCAGGAGGAAGAGGAAGAGGAAGGCTGAGACACTAATACAAAAGTTCTGCTTCCCTGGGGGAAATCTACCTCAAAGCCAGGAGGCTGGACCCTGCCCTTCCAGGCTCTCCCCTGCGGATGGGCTTAACTCTGCCTCGTTCATGGCTCTCCCTCACTCCCCGCGGTCTGTAATGGACCTGAATCACTCATCTCTGAACAGATGGGAGAGCACTAGACAAGGAGCAAGGCTTGTGACTTTGCACTTTGCTGCTGAGGTGTTCAGCACTATGAGATGACTCTCCACCAAGAACAAACTCACTGGACACTAAAAGGACTGAATGTCGTCATCCCCAAACTGGTGATCTTAGTATTAGGAGAGGAGTGTCTTTGTGCTGTTCACAACACGAAGATGGTGTTGTTGGTCCAGAGCAAAGTGGCACCAACCGGGTAGTTTCAACCATAGCTGCGGCCTTGCAGAGGCTGTTTCAGCCCGAGACCAACATGGGAGTCTGTGAGGGAAAGTCTACCCTTGTCTTTTTTCTGTGCTGTTTGTGGTTTGCTGGTCCTTGTCTTCACCTTCACACGATGCTCGCCCTGGGGATAAATTAATTCTCCCTCGTCATGAGACACAAGTGAGCTTAGGTTAAGGAGCTACCCTGCTCCACAATGACCTCATGCTAACCCACTACGCGCGCCATTACCCCATTTACCACTCAGATACTGTTGTCAGCCTTCTTCTCAGGTTATTTAGCTTTCTAATGTGGATGAGTTGTTTTTCTAGGCTGACCACATTATTGCTCTGAATTTGATGTTTATCCTCAGGCTTTTGCCCTCAGCTCTACCTTGAAAGGGTTAATGTTTTTTTGTCCTCATTTTTTATATAATATTTTATTAATTTTTTTCTTTCCTTTTACATACCAACCCCTGTTCCCTGTCCCTCCTCTTCTCCCGCTGCCCCCCACCTACCCCCATCTCACTCCCATCCCCTCCTCATAGAGGGTAAGGCCTCCCTTGAGTAGTCAACACAGGCTGTCATACCATGTTGGGGACGGACCTAGCCCCTCCCCCCCTGCATCAAGGCTGAGTAAGACATCTCACCATAGGGAATGGGGTCTAAAAGGCCAGTTCGTGTACCCAGGATATAAGTCCTGGTCCCATTGCCAGGAGACCAACAAACACATCAAGCCACACAACTGTCACCCACATTCAGAGGGCCTAGTTCGCTCCCATGCAGGCTCCCAGCTGTCAGTCAAGAGTCCATGAAGCTCCCATTAGCTTGGGTCAGCTATTTCTGTGATTTTCCCCATCATGTTTCTGCCCCCCCCCCCCCCCCCTTGCTCTTACAACCATGGATCGCCCTGGGAAGGGGAAAGGGTTAAAATCTCCTGGGTAAACTGAGAGGATGGAGCAGAGAGAGAGGGGTGGGAGGGGATGGGAGGGGATGGGAGGGGATGGGAGGTGGGAACATGGGGGAGAGACAGGGAGGGAGAGCAATGAAAGAGACATCTTGACAGAGTGTACCATTAAGGGGATGGGGAGAAATCTGCAGCTAGGGTAACCCCCAGAACTCACTAGATTGTCTATCCCCAGCTAAGACTCATAGCAATGGTAGAGAGGGTGCTTGAGCTAGCCTTCCCCTGCATGCAGATTAGTGGCTACCCTAATTGTCATCATAGAACCTACATCCAGTGACTGATGGGAACAGATGCAGAGACCCACAGCCAAGCAGTTGGCCAAGATTCTGGAGTTCAGTTGTCCTCACGTTTTAAAGGACTTGTTTGAAAGTCAGTCGTTTTTGCCGTACGTCCTTTGTATTATCCGTAGCCGTTTGTTGCAAGTTAGGTTTTTAGCAGCCCACCAGGCACTCTGTTTGGGTTGAGAAGAGCGAGAATGTATCACACTAGGGGAGACTCAGAAATTTATCTCTTGGAGAGTCCACTGCATAAGATAAATGGCCATTTGTCTAGAAGAGTTTACATGCTGTTTTGTCAGCTACTAATGACTTCTTAGGGGGGTTGGGGGGGGGGCGCTCCAAATGGTCTTGGAATTTTAGGGATTATTTATACATTGAAAAATAATATAAGCATATTTTATACGATTTTTAAAGGCCACATGCTTGGCTGCTCATGATTTTGGAATTTATTAAGCCAGAAATAATTTCATATCATGAAGCCTTACTTTAGAGAATTAAAAAATTCCTCACATCCACAGGTCCTGTAAATGTTTATATACTTTCATATTGCAAATCCATGCCTCTTTTAGCTGTTCCCAGCTCCATCCTTTCCTATTTGCTGAGAGCAATCTATTTATTTCTCTGGAAATACCAGCTTTCCCGACACTAGAGAAACAGAACGGGCCATCTCGTACATGGCTTACTGTGTTGGAAAACTCTGGAGAGTTGGAGCACTCTGACTTGGGTCGGGGTGAAGGCTTGTCTTGCAGCAGTTCACCAAACTTTGCAGACAGGAATCCTGAGAATGTGTTCAGCCGCTGTGACTAACCTCAAGTGTGTACGTGCCTCTGCAAATACTCTTAAGAAAGCGAGTGCTTTCCTTTAAAGTGTGTGCCTCTGAAAAATGTGATGCCTTCTTAATCAAATCTCCGTCATTCTGAAAAGTCAACATGTTTTCCAAAGGAACAGCTCTCTGATGTGGCATTTACTAAAAAAAATATTGAGAAACTGTCTCTCAACAGAGAAATCTGCTTTGTAGGAAAATATCCAGGGATTCACTTACTCCATAAAGCGGGGCTTTTGTATGAAAGGACACCTCTTCTCTACCCTGGTACCTTTGTTTTCAGGAAACAGGGTAGGGGCGGTTCCAGCCTCCAAAGCTCAGGTGTATCTCAGGAGGTTAAGGGAGCCTTGCCCGTGCACAGTGGAGGAAGCGGGGACTAGACGGCAAGGAGATTGCTGCTCACAATCTCCTTAACCTGAGATGGTGACTCCCACACCTGGGAGACTGGAAACGAGGTTGAAATGTACTCCACCAAATCAGAAGCCCTTAAAAGAAACTCAGAAGGCAGCTCTTTCAACTCTTCGGTTCTGTTCCACAAGATCCAGCAAAAAACTTTTAAGGCCCTTTGGGGTTTTTGTTAGTTGGTTGGTTGGTTGGTTGGTTTCTTTAGAAGTGATACTATCATTTTTCTAAAATAAATCTTCAAACAGGAGGACAACTGCCAGAGACTTGGCAATACGTTTCTATGTATTGGATTTTTATTCAAATTTTACTTACCATTATGAGGCTTGGTAGTCAGAGCAATTCTCTGAATATTAATAATCTTAATGTTCACAAACTGTCTTCATTGTCCACCTCTTTTCATGCTTGTATCATTTCCACAGCTGCCTCTAAAGCCCTCGAGTCTTCAGGTACCCAGCCTTCACACAGACACTCAAATTCAGTTTGCTAAGGCGTTCACTTTCAGAATGTCTCATTAACTCATTAACCTCTCTCATTAACCATTGTCTAAAGCCCAAATCTGGCCACCTGGGCCCCAGGTTCTCTGTAGTGTGGCTACAGAATCTACCTGCAGCCTGTAGCCTCCTTTCCCCAGATGTAACTTTTCCATCCAGCTGATCTACCTTCTACTCCCCTGACCCAAACCTCAATTTTGCTAAATTGCTTCTTTCTCTAATCCGGGTATTTGGGTCCTACAGGCATCTACTACACAGACTCCATTTTGTATGTCCTGTCATCTAACCACACATAGCTTTTAATAGTTATTTGACTTTCCGGTCTATCTGTAGAAGGACTAGAGAAGTTCCCATTCCACATCCATCTATCATACCAAGCACAAATCAAAAACTAATCAGAAAAACCATTCTGTCTGTACTGACTGCCAAACCTTTGATTTCCTTGTCATTACCCCTGGGACAATACAATAGTCACAGTGTTCATTATATTGGTATTATAAACAATCTAGAGATAGCCTAAAGTTCACAGAGGATAGCATAGACTCTTTATTACTAGGGCCTCAAGCATCTGCTGCAGGTAATTTCATTCAATGGGAGTCCCAGGACCGATTCTCCTGGATACCCTAAGACAACTGCATTTGTCTTGTCTCCAAGAAGTTTCAAACTCCTTTAGGTCAGAGTTTGGCTTATGGGCACTGCTGGTGTTCCCCATATCTTCTAAGGCAAAGGTAAGAACTTATGGACAAAACATACATTTTGGTGGACAGACTAACTCATCCATGGGGTGGGAATTAATTAGTATTTTATATTAGATAGTTCAACTTCTGATTTTGCAAAGACCATAAAATGCATTGATCTGAGAACACGTTGATGCTGGAAGCTTCATACATCGGCCATCAGTTTATTCTATTTACCAAAATTATTGCAGATGCCCTAATTTCCCATCTAAAAACAGCCAAATACAGGAGAAGTGAACAATTGTAGCTTTTCATTGAATGCTTAATGAGACGCTGATTCAGTTGAAAAATGTTTGTGAGACACACCTTCAAGAAGGTGGTTGCCATGTGGATGGCAGAGTTAGAGACATGTCAGTCTGCACGCAGAAGAGTCGATTTTCAGAAGTGGAGGCTGGGAAACAGTCTTTGACGCCTTACAGAGCTTTCCCTACAGGCACCCACAGGCAGGGGAAGCAGGACGGACTCTGCAAGCTTTGCTCCAGAGGCCAAACTGCAGTCTACTGCCTTTGTCCCCTATAGCTTGCTCATCTCTGCCCTCACCTTCCCTTCTAAACAAACCCAGGAAGCTGTCCTACAGTTCCCATCAGAGAAACTGCTGAGGATTGGGCCATTTCAGAAGTGTCTTCCAGCCTGAATGCTTTCATGTCTGAATTTGGGTTGCCTTCCAGCCCGATGGGACGGATTGGCTGGGCTATCTTAGTGAATAAAAACTTACATTAAGTTCAGAAGATTATATGGAATAAACTTGTTTACACTCCGTGATAGAGGCAGAGAGGAGAAAAAGAGGCTAGAGCAGGCTCTGTCTGTAACCCTCCGCCCATACATTCTCTCTAGGAAGGTAGCCAACTGCTGAGCATTGCATCCTCAGGAAAAGCAGCCGTGGGCTAGAAGACCCGGGGAGGGAGAGCAGCAGATGCAAGCAGCTGTTGGTGGAAATGAACCACCTCAAGGATCCTGAGAGGTGCCTCGAGTACCATCCCATAATCACTTCTGCCTGCTGCAACATCTTAAGAGTTTTGCAACTATTAAGATTTTTCAGATTGTAGTAACTATTTATTCTTAAGAACGGAGGCGAAGGGTTGGGAGAAAAATAAAAATGAATGTCTGGGATTTTGTCTACTAACCTTTTTTTTTTTTTTTTTTCTCGCCCTGTATAATGCAGCTTACTTTTTGTTACAGTGTTTGCATTGAGGCCGATCATCATTGTCCAGGAACAAATGCGGTCTTTTTATATTATTTGGGAGAACAGCGGGGCCTCAGCGAGTTGGTGGCAGTACAATAGCTCCCTCGGACTACTGCAGTCTAGCTGGAGACATGTTAATTAATATATTTCTCTGACACCTAGGTGATTGAAATAGCAATTAAAGAGTAATTAAAATGTTTACTTCTTGTAGGAATGTCAACTAAGATGTGGAATATAGCAATTACCTATGACGGATTAGAGGAAGATGATGAGGTCTTTGAAGTAATTCTGAAGTCCCCTGTGAATGCGGTTCTTGGCACAAAGACAAAAGCTGCAGTGAAAATTTTGGACTCAAAAGGAGGTATTCTTTTGATCCTCGTCTTGAAATCAGGAGCGGTCCTGGCGCCATGGCTGCCGGCTAGCAGCAGCCAACGTGCTTGATAACACCTTCAAATCAAAATGCGTGATTTCTTGTCAAGAAAGCCGCCTCCATCATGACTCGGGTTTCTTTATTCTGGTTTGTGCTTCATGTGGTTTTCCTCCCGCTAAGAGCCGTGGCTGCAGGAAAGCAACAAGTCAGTGGCCCGGGTGCTTTTCTCTAAGCGTTTGTTGTTCTCACCAAGGGGGAAACAATGTTGGTGAGAACCTATCGACAATTATTTTCCCCCAGAGTTTGCAGGGCTGTAATTATCTTCCTCTGTTAAAGAGCGCTCTCAGTGCCTAACCCTGGAGCCCCCCACGGTAGTGTGACCAGGGAAATTCTAAGAAGGGAAGGAATTGGAGAAAAATAGACGCGCGAGGATGCAGCTGGCTGGGGATTTGGGGGCAGCTGGAGAATACTAATGAATGGCTTGGTGATGCCGAGCCAAGCCATCCTGGGAAGGGTCTGCTAGAGAGCAACGGGCAAATAAAATAAAAAGCAAAGCCCTTGGCACTCCGAGGTTTTGTCCTGCCAAAGTCCTTCTGCTTCTGGTTCCTTATCTATGTGGCATTTGCTATGTCCGGCGTGACATTCCATTTTAAGCCTTGATTTTCACGCTTCTCGTGCCCTCTGATCTGCGTTTTTTTTCTCACCTGTAATCTATTGCCTCCTCACTCACCCTGTAATAAAAATGGGCACTGTCTCCCTTGCTTTGCAGACCCACATTTCCATGACCTCTCTTATCCCACCTTCCTCCTCACCACGTGTGCTTTTATTTATTTATTTATCTTTTTCCCAGCAGAAACGTCTGCTCACATTAAATACAAAAATGTCCCGGGCTGGGAATGTAGCTCAGTGGCAGAGTGCTTGTTTAGCTTGTAAAAGGCTCCGGGCCCGAATCTCAGTATAGCTAAAAACTAAGATAAATATCCGGACAGCATCTGCCTGTAGGTTGTTTTTTGTTTTCTTTTTGGTTGAGGTTTGTTATTGTACTTTAATTTTTAATGACTTTTTATTTATGGTGTTGAGGGGAGGTCAGAGGACAACCTG